TTCAAGTATAAGTTCTAAAATCAAGTAACCGCCCAAAAGATTCCAAATTACTTATACAATATCAATATTTGTCATGATAAAAAAAAAACACACATACACACACACACAAAATCCCATTAACAACTAATTTATACGTTCAAAGTAAATATCAATGCTCTGATACCTTTTCAATATAAGCTAATTTGACCTAGAACCACCATTACAATTTTCCTATGGTTTTAAAGATATTAATATCTCAAAAGTTGAGAATAAATTCTACCTCCACAATAAAATCATAATAAAAAATTTCTAATCCAATGAAAGAAATCATTATGTAATTATTGACATTTTATAAAAAATTTTCTTAAAAATAAACAAAATATGATAAATTCCACATCTTTAGTTCTTCTTCCTATTTCAATCATTAATTTCATTATTTATTTCTCTATCACTGCGAGTCTCTTCATTTTCTTTTAGTTTGACCTCATAATCTACTCCCTTTGTAGATTTTGTAATTTCAATTTGCTAATATCCACAAAATTGAAGATAATAAAAAGAGGTTATATTAACTATAAAATAGACAAGAGACAGAAAAATAGATTTTTTTAGGTTTTGTAAATTTATTGTCTTAAATTTAAAATTGTCTACTAAGTGGAGGACATTATAGGTATTTTACTATGTCAAGGGAGGTAAATGTAATATCTTAAACCTGAGGGGAGCCGAGTGCAATTGTTAAAAACCTCAAGGGAGGTTTCTAAATTATCTCCTTTTTTTTTTTCCTTTTGGTAGTTGAGGAGTGAAATTTAAGAAGTAGGGAGAAGAAATGGGGAATTAGAACCCATGGCCTCAAGATCTCTAAGTTCAGAGATCTTAAAGTTAACCACCAAATCAAGATCACCTTAGCATAAATATAAGCTAATTAATGCAAAAAAAATGTTTAAATAATTAGTAGTGTACACAAGAACAATCCTTTTAAATAAATGAAACTTATTACTTCCTGCAAAAGTTTGGCCCAGATACTTTCATACACTGGTATCAAGTTCAGTTCTCCATCTCTTTCAACGGCAGTACTGATCTTTCTTCCAAATTGGTATAACTAATGACTTACTTTGTTGCTAATGTCTATTTCATTTTTAGTTAAGCTAAATGCTTTTACTCCTTTTCCTTTAAGTTGCAAAGAGAATTTAACTCAGTTGCTATCACCCCCAATGATCTCATTCTTCCCACTTCTCCGTTTCTAAGTCAAAAGAAAAAATAACAGGAAAAAAATAACAAGAATCTAACGACATTAGTACCCATTAATCTAATTAATTAGACAAGATTTTTGGGAGTTTAGTGTAATTTCAGGAACCAAAGAAAAAGAGCCAATTCTATTACCGATGAAGAAAGACCATTAGCTTAACTTTAATTGTATTCAAGACATTGAGAAAACATACAACATACTCTGTTTTCTAGTGATAAATTGCTGATTGCAATGATGCATTCAATATATTTTTTTCTAAATTTCTAATGCAATTATGCATTGTTCTCTTATGTAAATGGTTGATCTTGACAGCTCTATATCGATATACATAACTTTGCGTGTGTATATTTGGATAAATGGAATTAGATACGTCCAACTATCATTAACTATTGGAAACCAAGGTGACAAATATTGCTTTAAAGCAATAAATGCAAGAGAACCTCTGCTGAGGATCAAATAAAACGTCAATGGACATACACAAACTAACAACTGTAAGAACAATAAACTTTTTATTTGGTATAACGTAAAAGAAGATAGTCTTTTGTTTTCTACTGGTCATTGAAATAACGTTGACTAGTGTATGTAATTACCAGAGAATGCTTGATCAGTTAGAAATAACTAACACATGACTCAGTCGGACATTTGTTGATTTGCCTGTACGGCACCACAAAGTTGAGTAAATAAGTAGGTTAGACAATATAAATTGTAAACATAAATAAACCATTCAAGATTTAGCTGCTTATTATTCAAAATCATTTATTCTCTAGGTGATTTAGATGGCTCGTAAAAGAGGAAAATTACTAAGAATTTTTATTTCTGGGGAAATAAAATTGCCCCAAAGATACAAGTTCCCAATTGTTCCGCTCTGTTCATAAACTAGATTGAAACCGTAACGCAACATATTTGTGAAACCTAATTGCCTAGAATACAAGGTATTTTAATCATAACTTATAAAAATCACTAAAATAGTGAATCTTACGATTTCCTTAATCGTGATAAAAAAAAACTACTATTTAATAAGGGATAATTTCAAAAACCTCCCCTAAGGTTTCTGACTATTTCATTGCCCTCCCTTTAGGTTTTGAAAATTACATTATCCTCCCTTGAGATTTATTATCTTATAACATTTAGATCCAATAAACAATTAAAAAGTGATATTAGGAGAGAGAGAGATAATATGATTCCACCATTGCGCTTCATGTACTAAATTGTTTAATTAATCTAATATCAATCCAAACATTAAAGAAAACACTAAAATTTGTTGTTTATCATCAGAATTTTTTAAATCACATATGGTATCAAATATAATATATTATTCTATATATTTCAGTTAATGTAAGATCTAAATTGCTCTTTTCACTTACAAACTCATGTCAAACAAAATCGACAACAAATAATTAAAAAAATCTGTAATCAAAATATTACAAAGAGTGAACTTTAATATCATAAAAATCTTAGTAACTAGCCTTAATATGTTGACAAGAATATTTATGATGTTAAAGTTTGTTTTTTCTAATATTTTGGTTACAATTTTTTGATTATTTGTTATTGATCGTGTTTTACAATGGGTATGTAATTGAAAACAGTAATTTGGATCTTATATTAAGTGAAAAATATAAAATAATATACTATTTTTTGATGCTATATGTGATTTAATCCCTAATAATAAACAACAAATTTTAGTGTTTTTCTTTAATATGCGGGTTGGTATTGAATTAATTAAATAAAGTAGTAGAAGTGGGGCTATGATGGAATCATATTATCTTTTTTCTCCTAATATCAAATTTTAATTATTGATTAGGTTTAAATGTTACAAGATAATTAACCTCAAGGGAGGTTAGTGTAATTTTTGAAATCTGGAGAGAGTCCAGTGAAATAATTAGAAACCTTATGGGAGGTTTCTGAAATTATCTCATTTAATAAATAAAAACTCCTAAATAACTTCTTTTAGAAAGGCTTTCGTTTCCTCAGTAAATTTCGTGGTAGAAGAAATGATTTTTAGAACTGAAGGTTAAAATTGTCAACCTCGATCCAAATAGCCAAACATGAGCAATATAAGCACTTAAACCTCAATATCCTATTAACATTATATTCGATAAATCTAGTACTCGATTGTAGATTTATTTGCCTTACTCTTATCTTTCTTGGTTTCTTTATCTACAATAAAAACTTATTAAATATGAGTTGAGAGACGCACATTCAGCAAGTAACACTTAACTCCATATGAATGTGAGTATACGTATATGCATATACGCATGTAACTATAAATACATGCGTGTATACATATATATCACCAAAACCACATACCAGATGCAACATACAAAGCTCGATTTGAATACATTTACACATGCATAGCATAAGTATCTACTTGAGAATGTTTGATCAATTAGAAAGAATTAAACACATGACTCAATAGGGTCTTAGTCGGAGATTCATTGTTTTGTTGTACGACATCACATAGTCGTGCAAATAAGTAGTGTAGACAATATCAACAAACATAACTAATTCATTGAAGGTTTAGTTGTTTATGATTCAAAACCTTTTATTATGCTGTTGGTTTAGATGGCTCATGAAAGAGGAAAATTACTAAGGATTATTATTTCCGGGGAAAAAAAATTTGCCCAAAAGTGAGTTGTGATCAGATTATGGGGAAAATTATTGTTAGTTCTGGTATCAGGAAATTGATGAAAGGCATCTTGACCATCCCAAAAGACAAATAACAAAGAAAAAAAATAAATGAAACAGGAACATAAAATTTACATAGTTCGATCAAATTGACTTGCGTCCACGGACGGAAGAGGAGCAAATTTTCACCATGAAGAAGAGAGTACAAAAGTATTAGCAAAGTGTTCCTAAACACAAAAGCACCTAATACTAAAATATAAGAGAGTTCAAAATATATCTCTTTAAAAGAAATTTGCCCAAAAGCTACTAGTTGCCAATGAAAAAATTTGAGAAAAGTGAAGGAACTTATTTAAGGTAGGATTATGTGTACATGAATGACACTTTATGAAACTTGTGTTACACTGCATTCCTCTCATAGACTCTGACAATTTGTTTGAAAGGTGAGATTTAATGAGAAAAGAAGAGAAAGTGAAATAAAGGAGGTGGTTTCTGTTGCTTAGGAGTTTGATGGGGACAAAAAAGAATGGAAAGCGAAAGATCTTGTAGGATCTTTTTGGTAGATACAGTTGGAAAACTTCAACCCATATTTGGGCAGTCAACAAGCGAAAGCTCAGCAAAACTTGATAGAATTTTTCAAAATTCCACTTCCATCATTAAATATGTATAGAACAAAATTTTAAGGGAGAATTGGAGTTTTGGTCCCCAATGTATTACAAACACGCGAAACTAGTCCCCAATCTATTGGGGAGAACAAATGCGGTCCCCAATCGATCCAATTTTGCTCAAAAGTGGACAATTGACTGGTTTTCTTCATTTTTTGCCGGAAACAAGTCACGTGAGAGCACGTGCCGGCAGTCACTACAACAAAAATGGTCTTTTCTGACATGCCTATAAGAACACTTGCTGGTTTATGTCATTATAGCACTTCTATCATGACACTTGTTATCAACTTAATAATATATACTCTAATTTTTTTTATTTTATCTGATATAAAAATAATAATGTACCTTTAGACTCCCTGTCATGACACTTAAAAAAATGTGAGATACACAAAAAAAAATTAAAACACAAAACGACGTCCTTTGATTTTAGCGGAAAATTCTTTGCCAAAACACTTGTGCAATCTCAAAACTTCATTTTGCCTGTCAGTGAAATTTTGCTTCTTCTTATCTCTCTCACAAACTCTCTCTCTCTCTCTCTCAGCAAACTATCTCTCAAAACTCTTGGCCAAAATTTTGCTTTCCCCCCAGAGTTTTGCTGTTGAATCTCTCCGCAATCAAACTACCCTTGCTTTCCTATCGAACGTATGTAATTCCATGATAAATTTTTGCCCTAAATTGATTTCTCTCGGTTGTCTACTTGAATCTGATATAATGTTTTTTGCTGAATCTGATATAATATTTTTTGCTAGATCTCCCTGTTCAACTTTATGGATTTGTAAGGGTTTTTTGGCTGCCAATCTTTTGCACTTCTCCAGAAAAGAAGAGGAGGCAGAATTACTGTGAGCGATTGTCCAAGATGAAGACGATTCTGTCATCGGAGACTATGGAAATTCCCGGCGGTGTTAAGATTAAGGTGAAAGCCAAGCAGATCTAGGTGGAAGGACCCGCGGGAAGCTTACTCGCAACTTCAAGCATCTCAACCTCGACTTCCAGCTCATCACCGATGAGGCCACCGGGAAGAGTAAGCTCAAGGTCGACGCTTGGTTCGGCTCTTGGAAGACTACCGTTTCCATTCGCACTGCCCTCAGTCACGTTGAGACCTCATCACTGGCGTTACCAAGGGTTACCGGTACAAGATGAGATTCGTCTACGCTCACTTCCCAGTCAACTCCTCCATCACCAACTCCAATCGTTCTATTGAGATCCGAAACTTTCTTGGCGAGAAGAAGGTATCTACTTGCATGATGAAACATTTGGGCCTTTTCTTTTCTCTTTAGATTTGTCATTTTTCTGATTTCTTATACATTTTCATGCATACGAATTGTTGATTTGATTTAGTAATACTGCGAATTAACTTGGCTTGTGCGGAAGAATTCTTCCTCTTCCCCCTCCCTTTTGAGTGTGTATTTGAGTAGAGTTTTTGGGCTGGACTACCAGTGCTTTGTCTTTGTTTTTTCTGGGTTTATCGTCAGATGCTTGTGAGCCTCCAATTTAAAACCAAAAATGCCATGTGAAGAACAAAGATATCTGGAAGTTCCTTGATGGTATCTATGTCAGTGAGAAGGGGCGAATAGCCGAGGAGGACTGAGGAGAGTTAGTGGCCTACATTTCTTGATCGTTTTCTTGGATTGATTCCCTTTTATCATATCAAGCTACTTGTGGGGATTTCTTAGAGATGACTTCTATTTTGAACTTAAAAAATTTTACCCTACAGGCTCAAAAAACTGACTTTGAGTTGGAGCTATCTTCATGGAGGGATATGGCCATTTTTGCCAATTTAGGCCACCTTATAGTACTCAAACAGAAAAACTTTGCTTTTCAAGGACCAGGATGGGAACTAAATGAAGGGGTGTTTGGTTGTCTATAGTCGTTGCTAATAGAAAGTACAGATCTAGTACACTGGGAGGCCACAAGCACTGATAATTTTCCATGCCTTGAACACCTGCTTCTGAGGTCTTGCAAATCCTTAGAGGAGATCCCTTATGGTATTGGGGAACTTCCTACCCTCTCACTACTGGAGGTGCACTACTGTAGCAAATCTGCAGAGGATTCTGCTAAAGAATTTGGAGAGGAAATTGAAGGTCTGAAGGTTGTCACGAGAAGTGATATTTAGGTCAAAATATCATCAAAGATTCTTGATTTCTAATTTCTATGTGCACCAATGAGTCGGAAGTTAGAAATAAGTCTTGTTACTGATTTTCTACTGTCAGTGGTATACTATTCTCTGTACTTTAGAATTTTATCAGTCTTTCCCCTTTCACCTTTTCTTTAGCATTACATGCTATGTTGTAATTTTTGGTTGTATGACAGGCTCCTGGACTCTGCACAGTGAAAGCTTGCAGTTCATTTTGCATTGTGGATATTGTCCTTGCATTTTGTGATGATGGTAATCTCATGCAATGTGCATGGTGTCATAAATTCCATTCTAGAGTGTACTACTACTTCTGGTCCTGTTTGAGCACTGAGGGTGTTTAATTTCTTGACAAAAGTAAGCAGACCAACTGTATACGAGGACTAAATTTCTGGATATGACTTCCAGTTTATATAATAGATTATTATTTCAACTTACACGTAGGTCGAACTTTCTACTGATTTTTTCTTAACTGTATATGTGAAGCAGAAATTGAAGACTCGTGTGGTGAGGAAAAATGTAAATCCTGAGCGGAATGAAGACCTTACACTGTCAATTGCAGATCCAAGCATCCCAATCAAGCTAGTAAGTATCATACTTTTTTTTAAGTATATTATAGTGGTGCTTTTTGAATAAGGTGCTGTTATGAACTGTAAAGTTTTTTGCCTTTTTGGAAATTGAGAAACATTAGGTTCATTATCAATACAAAATGAATTGTATGATGAGAGTTGTTGCACCACTGATGCTCAAGTAGGAACAAAGTCTTCTGTTTGAAATAACTTATGTTGGATTAGTGTTTGCAGTCCTTGAAAAGTTTAGTTTCTTGTTGCAAAGGCTGAAAAATAAAATCTACATTATGTTCTGCGAAGGATTAAGGCATATTGATTATTGATTGATTCTATCCCCGGATGCATAGCTCCAGTTAGATAATTGGGTTCCTGTCATCTAGGTAGTCAAGGTCCAAATTTATGCTGATGCATTATTTACTTAATTTTCTTACCATGTTAAAGTTAATTCAATCAGCATAGATACTTAACCTCGCTCTTAATGGTGTGCAATGCAGCAAGTTTTTGACAAGGATACATTTAGTCTTGATGACAAAATGGGAGATGACAAAAGGATTAGGCATTCATTTTCTATCTATCTAAATTTGTTTCATACTTGTGTACAAAATTTTGCTTCTTGGCTTTTACTTCATTAAATGTTTACTTTCATTCCCAATAAAGCTGTTTGATAATTAAAAAAAAAAAAGGAAGTGGAGCTCAGGACATTAGATTATTCTCATCAAGTGGAATCTAGGAATGTCTGACACAAATAATTATTTGGCTCTCTAGTTATAACTTTGGAGTTGCTTGCAACTTTAGCATGACTTTGATTCTTGTACTTGTTCGGTCTTTGATTCCTATTTTTGAAGCTTCGTTTCTGCTTGTTGCTCAAACTAAAATATTTATGGTTAGCTCTATTTCTTATACCAAAGTACTTTGTGCACAGGTGGTGCCAACTAAAGATTGATGGTGTCTTTGTGGTTATGACTGAAGGCTCTCATTTGGTTGGAAAGTTTGGAAGCTACTACAAGTTCTTTCAAATTTTTACATTAGAAGAGTCTTTTATTTTAATTTTAGCTAGTGGCATTGTTTAACATTGCTATTCTACTTTAAACAACTTTTTCGATTAGCTATGTTAGTACTTGTTGCTGACTTTTAGTTCAACAAATGATATTTAAGTATTGATTTTTGCTTTTAAATTACTACATGCATTCTGTTCTTTGGGATAATTTTACAAGTCCTTTGGGTATCTAATTGATGGAATGTATAGCAGGAAGCACAAACAGGTTGCTTCTTTATTTAAAAAAAAAAAAACTCATGACAGTTAAAAGTGTTAGCATAGCTCAGCAACTTCGAGAATATCCCGACACTTTCGATTGTCAAGAAAAGGGAATTTTGTTGATAGATGGGATGCTATAATAGCATAGTTTTCCTGACACATTTGAATGCTTCGAGCCTATCCCCACATTGGAAGGGATAACACTCATCCGAGGTGTGAGGAAAGATAAAGTGTCAATTTAGATAAACTATACTGACACCTTTAAATGCCGTTAAAGGTCATTTTTGTTGTAGTGAATTAAAATCCTTTTCTCAATTTTTTATGCGTGAAAACCCATAAAAAATTATTTCCAGCCTTCTGGTGCCCCACTTTTTAATTAGCAAAGACAAAACACAATTAGCAAATGGAGTTAATTATATTAATTAGTATTAGTCTACTATATAATTGAGCAGGGGGTAAAATTTTTGTTTAACAAAAGCAAAATCCAATCTATCCCTCTTTTTCTTTCTGTCGTTCTCTTTATTCTTCCCCAACTGTAGAAAAAACCCTTGTAGCCAAATTCAATTACCGGCACGTGAGAAAGACTTGTACAGATTGAAATTTTGTGCTTTGGGTTTCCTCATCCTTCACACTAATGGCATAATTTTGACAGATTTGTCTTGTCTTCTTATCTAGTTGTATGTTATCATGATATCAGAAAAGCTTTGCCACTGTAAGTTACAAGCAATGATTATTACCTCTTGGACACACAACAACCTTGGAAGAAGGTATTTCAGCTGCGGCATGAAGAAGGTATGGGCTATCTCAAATTCTTGCTTCCGCTTCTGAATTTTATGTTTTTCTGAAACAATATTTTTTTGTCCGTGAAGGGCAAAAGAGATGAAAAAGGTTGCAACTATTTCGAGTGGTATGATCCGATAATGTGCCGAAGATCCACTGCTTTGATACCTGGTTTGCTGCGGAGCATGAATGCTAAGGATGCCACAATCGAAAAATTAAGAGCAAGGGAAAGAAAATTAGTGTCTGCAATTGTGTTGTTGGCACTGTTGTTGTTGTTTGTTTTGCTGGTGTAAAAGGCCAGAAATTAGTATGGAATAGCTATGTTTTAGCGGATTGTGACAAGCTACTAGTAATCAGCAATGGGTGATTGTGTAGGTTGGGATGTATTATATTACTAGTAAGATATCAGTAATGTTGTATTCAATGCTATTTTGTACTGTAATGAAGGCATTATTAAGGCATTCAGAGGCCAAATGAAGGCAGTATTTCCCAATTATCCCTGTAAAAATTTAGATAGTTTAGATTACAAAACAAATTTGTAATCTAAAAAATATATGATGGCCGTGTAATCCCAAGGGAAACTAATGTTCTGCAGCTTTTCATCAGTAACCAGCAGCTTAATATGATGCAACACCAACGAAATTCACCCAAAAATGGAAAAAGAAACAAAAACAAACATCAGCCATGTCTTTGCTTCTTCTTCACTAACTCCCTGTTCCTTCAACTCTAGTACTCGCTAGCCAAATAGTAGGGCAGGAGGTGGATTTAAAAGCAAAATTCTGTGAAGTAACAACAATGAGTCACATTTTGACTTGCAGGACAAAAATGAAACCTCAACTACACCTGAACATCATCTTATCACTTTCTTTGCTCAATTCAACTGCAATAAAACCAGCAATCTTTAAATAAATAAAACCATAAAATCTCCATTTCTGCCATAAAATCATAAAAACCATAAAAACCATAAAACCATAAAACCTCTATTTCTGCCATAAAACCATAAAAACCATAAAATCTCAACAGCAATAATTCTGCCATAAAACCAGCAATCTTTAAATAATAATATTGCAATTCACTTCTTACAATCATGAAAAAGGGACCTCCATTTCTCCCTTACAAAATATACATAGACTTTATCAAACAAGATGACAAAAGAAGTACAAAATAAGCTGCATTACAACATCTGCATTACTTCCAACATAACAAAAGAAGTACCAAGTCTACCCAGCAACAAATGAAATACATAATTAGTTCACTTTTGTATTTCCTTTAACATCAGACTTGTCACCACATTCACTGGTCTTAGGGAGTCCGAGATGAATTTGAACATCCCTAATTCTAAATGATACAGAAGCAATGGGAGCAACTGGTTGGCTGATATGTGCCACATGTGGATTTTAAATTTCAAAAACCTCATACAAGTTAGGCTCAGCAACAGGGGCAGAAGAGGTAGTATTGATGCTGTCAGTAGCTTGTTGGCTATTTTGTGATGAAGTTACTTTCTTTGCTACACGTCTAGTGTCTTTTCCCTGCACAACAGTAGTATGAATAATGAGTATGCGCAGTAGTTATGTTGGTAAGAATATAAAATCAAATTCTGAAAATAAGAAAACTGTACAGCTTTTTTCACTGTTCTTCTGGTTGTCTTCTTAGCAGTGGAGCCAATACCTTCAACCTAGAACATGAGATTAGAACCATTATTATTAAGCAAATAGAAAATCACAGGACTTGAATTCAAATATATCATATCTTATCACTCACAAATATGCTATGGTTTGTATCCATTTGTGACAAGTTTCTTTCACATTGTGCTTCATGCAATCCAGCAGATGACATCTGTGATAGACTTACATCTTCACCATATTTTTGTTGCCTAAACTTGCATGTCATTGTGTTTTGACCCTTTTCCCCACAGTAAGTACATTTACAGATTTGTCCAACTCGTCTTACTTTAACTCTTTTATCTTTCATTTCCTGCACCTCATCAGTAGATTTTCTCCTTTGTTTCTTGGGCCTTCCTGGTGCTCTTCCATATGTTGGTGGGAGTGGGGGCTGGACATTCATATCTGCCCAATCTTGCTCTCCATGAAGAGGTAGTATATAGGGCTCATAACACTTGAGATAAGTGTGCACTCTGTAGCAATCATCAACATACTCCATTGGATCCTTCATTGCAATCCAAAGTGCTGAAATTGCATGATAGTAAGGTATCCCTGTCAAGTCTCATTTCCTACAAGAGCATGTCTTCTCTTCAATATTAACTGCATATTTTTCACCATAGGGATCAGCAACTTCATAATTAACTTCATTGGATTTGTAAGGCACACAGTAAGTTGCCTTATCTATGTTCTCCATCATTCTTTTCTTGATTTTTGGGCAGACTGCAAATTTGCTCCATTTTTTCTGGCTCTGTCTCTGTTTTCCTGCATTCTTGACATCATAAAATATCTCAATGACTCCATCATTGCAATAATTGACTCCTCTCTAGCATCTAAGATCTTGCTGTTGAAGGATTCACATATGTTATTCAGCAATATATCACACTTTGGGTAAGTGCTGAAGTGTGATCTATACCACTCTGTCGAATCCTTGTCATCCAACCACTTAGCTACTTCAGCATCAAGTTCAGCAATTGCCTCCATTCTTCTTCTGAATTGAATTGGAGTAGTTGCCTTAGCTGCTTTCCGCAGAACTTTCCTCATTGCCGCCCCTTTGAACCCAGCAGATGACATGTTACTATGCATATGTTTAACACAGAATCTGTGGGTTGCATTTGAAAAAACTGCTTCACATGCTTGGATTATTCCCTTTTGCTTATCACTCATTATTGTCCACTCATAGTCCCTTTCAATTTTCAAATCTTCCTTGAGTAATGTTAGAAACCAAATCCAAGAATCTTTGGTTTCTCCCTCAGTTGCTGCATAAGCTATAGGATACATTCCATTATTAGCATCAACTCCAACTGCTGTCAATAGTACACCCCTTGTTGAACCTTTGAGAAAAGTTTCATCCATTCCAAACACAGGCCTACAAGCTGCTAAGAACCCCTGTTTTACCCCAGCAAAGCACATGTATAATCTCTGAAATTTGCCCTGTCCAGTTACTGCATCACAATAGTCATCTACCAGCTTCATAATTACTGTGCTACCTGGATTACTTCTCTCAATTTCATTGATATATTGAGACAGTTTATTATATTGATCCATCTCACTACCTTTGGCCAAATTCTCTGTAATTTTCTTAGCTCTATAGCCTTGATGTCTACTAAGATGACATTTGTGCTCCTTCATTACCAGATTTTTGAAACTAACATAGTCCAGCCTTGGGTTCTCCCTAAATATGCCAACATATCTTCTTCCTACCCACCCAGACTTCACACTCTTGTTGTGGTATGAAAATCCACATTTGTGCTTCTTTTGAAATGTTCTAACCTCCAATCTGCCATCCCCTTTCATCCTCCTAACATATATGCACCAATCACACCCATCTTTAGGACATATTGCTCTAACTCTTATGCTATCACTCTTGACAAATTTAAATGATCTCCCTCTTTTGATGTTCCAGGTTCTAATTGCTTCTTTCAACTCCTTGAAGGAAGAAAATATTTGTCTAAGTTTAATTTTGGGGTTATTTTCATCTTTGGGATCAAACACAGGGGGTCTCAAACTTTTGTCTTCATCCGACCCTGTATCACTGCCAATATCAGTGGCTGAATTTGGGGCAACATCTACGTCAGAATTGTCATCATCACTTTCAGTATCAGTAGGCATTTGTTTCCTAGGCATGTGGCTCATCCTAGCATCTGTAGAGCTTTTTTTAATATGCTTATTCAGCTGCTCTTGTTTTCTATTTTCTACCCCTAACCATTCAGAATCTTCGTCAACATTTTCATCATAATCATTATCATCTGAATTTTGATCATAATCCGAGTTTTCTTCTGAGAACTCCCCCAAATCAGAACCTGAACTAGCCATATATTCATCATCACTTTCATCCTCTTCATCTTCTAACACAAAGTCCCCATCCTCAATGTCAGACCCCTATTGTGATGCTAGTATATCATTAAGGGAAACCTCTATACACAAATCAACTACCCTACCATGGTCAAAATGATCAGCACAATATGCATGCCATTCTCTATCATGTCTTAACAAACTAAATCCATGTTTCTTGATTAGGATATGGTACTTTTTGTCACCAACAGCTTGAAGTTGATTTTCTAGCATTTTATCCATTTCAAATAGACTGTGGCATCTACATGATAAAAAATCCTTAATTTTTCTCCCTCATAATACACATCAGGTTCGGTTTCAATTTTTCCCCATATTTAACACTTCATAGTCACTTCAGTGCTATCACTATCTGAATTTAGGGACAAAAAAAAACAAACACAATAAGCAAGTACCATAAGTGACAAATTAGATTATATAAGCAGGTAATTTGCACTCAATCAGCTTCAAGGGCAACAAGAGCATGTTATAAAGTTGGGGATTTAACCCCCTGCCATATAAAGTTCAGACAAGGACCACAAAAGCATGTTACCGAGTCTTCCTACCCACCCAATATTGTCTACATGACAACACACACCAGAGAGACATACGGGACCACATACAATGGTAGACAAGAAATATTTTAGGGCTTTGTCAGAATGTCTTAAAAATCCAAAATTTAAGACATTCTTTGTCTCCCAAGTGAAAATATCACCATTCATCATCACATTCTTACAATATAAGCATGAATTAAGCATGCGTAATTCTACCTGAGGTAAAAATCACATATTGTAATCTGATGACAGTGCTCCATTCATTTCTTTTGGTCTTAGTGCCATTTCCTCCTCCCAGACTCACGAACAACTCCACTATCACCCAGTTCTTCAAGAATTTGCTTCCGATTTGCTGGTTTTATGCACAATGTTAGGTCTGGTTTTTTGTTGTCGTTTGTGGAGACTGAAGAGAAGAAAGGGGGGACAATTAGTGTGTTTTGTCTTTGCTAATTAAAAAGTGGGGCACCAGAAGGCTGGAAAATTTTTTTATGGTTTTTCACGCATAAAAAATTGAGAAAAGGATTTTAACTGCTGGCACATGCTCTCACGTGACTTGTTTCTGGCAAAAAATGAATAAACCAGTCAATTGTCCACTTTCGAGCAAAATTGGATCGATTGGGGACCGCATTTGTTCTTCCCACTAGATTGGGGACTAGTTTCGCGCGTTTGTAGTACATTGGGGACCAAAACTCCAATTCTCCCAAATGTTAATGACATATATGTCTAGAATCTTTCCCTTTTTTTTTTGTTCTAAACTCCCAAACAACATTAAACCCTATTCTCTTGCCATAATAGGTTAGCTTCCACGCTGGTTAAACTTTGGGAATTCTTTAAATACTTGTGCATAAATTGTTATATATTTTCTTGTCTACCTTTTTCTTCTCAAACTTTTCTCTAATTTTTCTCCCTTTCTCAGAGGCCTTCCTCTTAGGGACCCCTGTGGTCTCTCTCCCATGATTTTTGTTTTATTTTATTTTTATTAAAGTCTCTCCAAAATTTTCTTGGTAAGAGTTTTCTGTTTCTCCTAGGAATCCCTAGTGAAAATTTTTTACTCTCCTAGGGGTTTCTATAAAGATTTCTGCATTATTTTTTTATTTTGTTCTTAGATCCGAACGTATTTTAGATTTGGTTGCTAGATTTGAAAATTTTTTGGATCTTAGATATATTTGGACAAATCTCATTATTATTATTGGAGTTTAAAACCATTAATTAGCAGATCTATTGATCACAATATGCATAAAAAGGAGCTGGGGTGATTTATTAAAAGATAATTTTGAAATTTCTTATATTTGTCAAATTTGTTCATAATTTGTTCATATATATTGTATCTATTAAATTATAAATTTGTAATTTCTAGTGCATGTTTACCTACCAATAGGGTAATAGTGTAAATCAAATCATGATGGACAATTTCCAATAATAAGTTAATGAAATTTTTTTTATCCCAAAAAAGAAAAAAAAAATCAAATGTAAATGTTGACTGCAATAATTTGAAACATCCTACTAACTTAACTAGATTTGTAAGTGCTATAGTTGATGTTAAAAACAAACTAATTTAAATTGGTCTAATTCCACTATGCACATTGAAACTTGTATTACTTTCTCGCTTTGCACCCTAAACTTTAATTTTAAAAACTTTGCACCCCAAACTCTCAATTTTGGATACTTTGTATCATAAATTCTCAAGTTTGTTCCATTTAAGTCTAATCAATGATAACTTTAGCAAAATTAATGGCATAGAGGACTTGACAAAGTAAAGGTGGTCAAAATGAGCCAGCATATTGCACATGAAACAAAATGATACATTATCATTAATTTATGTCGTCCTTTATCTTGTTAATTTTAATAACAATATTAGTTAATTGCTACTATACAAATCAACAACAATATACTGAAAATGGTCAAAAAAAGTTATGGGATTGCACTTGGAATAAAATTGTACATTATTATTGATTTGTACAGTCTGTTAACTTGTGAAGTGGTAGGATAATAGTTTTTTGTAGCAATGTAAAACCCATTTGACCTTTGTATAGGTTGATAAAATGTTCATGAAGAGTTGCAACTTTAATCAGTAAATTCCTTTAGAAGAAACTATGAATTTGTATAAATCATGAACTTGTATATATTATGTATTTGTACAAATGATGAATTTGTTTATACCATGAATCAGCTCAGACAATGAACTTATTGATCTACTAAATTTGTGTGAGCGTGTATATATATATATATATATATAGTGTATGTGCGCGCGCGCTCACGTGTGTGTGTGTGTATGTATGTATGTGTGTGTGTGTGTATCGATTAGTCTTACTAGCAAAAGTTTAGTGAGTATTTATAGACAAATAAGTTATTCATATCCTTATGGAAGCCTAAAACTAGTTTCCAATAGGATTTAGTTTTTTCATTCTAATACAACTCTTGTATCTAGAAGAATTAAACTTATTTGCATCATAAGTCTCTCAAGTTTAATTTATCTTACAAATTAAACTATAAGTTATAAAAACTTATCTTTCAAGTCCTTGTTTGAAATTCTTTTAATCCAACTACAAATGTTCTTAATGTGTGTGACCCATTAAATTCTACTATAAATTGGCAATAAGTATGAGTTATAATTCTTAATAAATAAGAATTAGATAAATTAAAACTCCTTTTTATTTTGTCATTTGTTCCACTAATCGATCAAGTCATTTTTATAAATCAAGATTGGCGTCTAACAATACATCATGACCATCCAGGTAATGAGAAACTTTCAGTGAACATTTACTTTGTAATCAATATTCATTTACCACATTTATGTCACATTAATTTTGGAATGAGTTGTGCCTATTTCATTATGTGATTAATGTTCATTTCTTATAACAAAATATAACTCCAATGAAGAAGGTCTTATTCTAAGGCTCTTCTATTTAGCCTTAAGAATTCTGAGTTATACTTCTACAAGTAACCAGATATGAGAAAACTCCTCTTGCATAAGAGATGGTAATCCTTATAGGTTATCCATCACCTTTCCGTACTTAAAATATATATCCATATGCTAATTATGCGAGCATTCCCTAATATGGGAGCAATCATATGACAAATAAAGTATAACTATCCATACTTAAGATACTATGATAATCTTAGGTCTAAAAATCACTTACATAAATGTCACTCAGAGATTAACTCTTTGACATTTAAGGATATCTATATATGGTTCAATCTAGTGAATTTGATCATCTTATCAAGTATCCATACACTAGTTTAGGTGTCTCATACAACATAGCAGATGAGGTCGACTACTTCTCATAAAGAAGCAGTATAGTATATGTTAGCCTAACTGTAGTGACAATGCCCCATCTTATTAATACTTTGACTATAGAGATTTAAACATAAATCTTATCTATAATCAAATGAATCTCACCATCATTATATTTAATCAATCAATATGATAAAAATATCATTTATTATAATATAAATAGTTCAAGTACATACTAAATCCTAGAAGTTGATTGATTTTAGAGCATATATACTTGTATGACTATCTTAAACTAATCATGGCCAAAAACTTAGTGCTTGAGGACAAGGATTGGCTAAGACTTTGTGGGCTATTCTATGGGTTTTAAGTGGTTTGGAACCTTGGTGCTTGGTTAAGTGTTAGGGCACTGCTAGGCACGAACCATGGAATTAAGAGGGGGCCTTGAGTACCATTTGCCTAGTGTGTTGTTGCGTTGGGTTAGATTTAGTAGGACGGTGTTATTTTGGTAGAAATGACCATGCATTGACAGATGAAAACTCATGGATCTGAACATGAGCGGAACACGTGTGTAGGGATTAGCTATTACTGGATCCTCAAACTATTACTCCAGGGTTTGGACAGCCTTATCCCCTTTCATGATTTCCTATTGGTCCTTGTAGATCAATGGTTGGGCCTTCCAGCAGCAAGGGTGTTTACAGATAGTTGCTCCACATTATCTTCTAATATTCACCATAGTTTGCTCCACCCTCAAGAGTCAGACTTGTCAAGGTTACAATGTTGGTATTACTGTGTTTGGGTGTTTATTAACCAAATATGTTTGGTAAAACATCCAATGAAATTAAACAAACTTTCAATGAGATTAAGAAACCTCTATTGTCCTAATAAATTGAGACTTGCAGTTAGTTGCCATATAATATAGAATCTAACTCCTATTTTAATGCCTAACAAATAAAATAATGCCACATCAGTTAGCCAATCTTTTATACTAATTATTCTAATCCTGACCCGGTCCACTCAATTGGTTTTGTGACAAAAGCTCATGTTGTTTAACAACATCTCTTCCTAGTAATTTAGTATTAACTTCCAAAAGCTATTTCAAAGAACTATTTCAACTTTTTACCCATATCATTTTCAATGATTCTCAATTTGTACCCTTAACCTTTATTTTGGATAATTTAATTACATGAAGTTTCTGA